GACAATTGTTTCAATTATTTCCCACGTCAACGACTGAGTCTCCAAATATGAAGAGTGCAGGAATTAGAGGCTGCGAATTTATCGCGCCGAGACGACATAAAACGACAATAAAAATGGCAAGGAAACTTGAGGGATCCTACCATTGTAGCTGCTCTCGTCCACATGCAGTTTCATGACTGCTTTGTCAATGTTAGAATATTTAGCCCATGTTTGGCTCTATTTCTTAAAATTAGTTTTCTCTTCAAACTCATTTTCTACAATACATTCCATGAGATTCACAACTTATCTACTATACATTTCAAAAACTTTTATTACAATCTACTAAAAGTCTAATTTTCTTTTTTTTCAAACCAAATAGAGGCCTAATGTAAGAGCCTGTTTGAACTCTATTTTTATTGAATGTATTTTGGAATAATAGATTGATGAAGAATGCGTGGTTAGAAAATAAGAAAAATTTTTGAGTTTGCGTGTAATATTATTTCATTGAAGTATATGTGGTTGAAAAGAAGAGAGTTTTGAAATAACGGAATCAAATAAGCCCTAAAAATATTTGGAGTTTTTTATATTTAGAGACAAATAAATAAATTATTTCTTTTTTTTTTTTTTTGGAATGCCAACCTCTTAATTAAAAACTTGAGCGGTTAGAAATTAGGATATTAAGTTGGATTCATTGATAAGCGGATGTAATGAAATCAAAATAATTTACAACTACCTTTAACGGTTTAACCATATCGACTACGAACAAAATGCAAATTAAGTATAAGATAATTGAAGTTGTTCATATGAATTGTAACCCTAGGGGTGTGATGCATCAATCCTACTGGATGGAAATAACACAGAGAAAACTGTTGTCCCTAATCTTAGTGTTCGAGGCTATGAAATAATTGATGCAGCCAAAGCTGATGTGGAAGCAATCTGCCCAGGAGTGGTTTCTTGTGCTGATATCATCGTTATATACACTAGGGATGCTGTTGGCCTGGTAAAAAAAATTACTTATTTTGACGATAATTTGAAAAATAAGTTACGTATTTGTGTGCATGAACACATAGAGTGGAGGGGAACGATATAGT